TGTGCGCGCTCACTAAATATCTGTGGGACACGTGTACCGGGCCGCGATGGAAGCGTGTCGGCCGATGTTCCTCGCTGAACGACACGCGGCGTGAGATAGCCGGCGATTTGTCACTCGATGAATCTTCTTCCCCAGCCGCTTGTCCCGCTTTGATTCGTTCCACGGGGTTTCTTTTCCCTTCTTCTTTCGCGAACGGAATCACCAAGGGAATTTTGAGAAGGATTTTTCCAAGATTTTTCAATTGTTCCTCCAAAAAAATTTTAAAAAAGAGTTATATACAGGGCAAAAGGCACTGAAGAATTTTTGTTAAGTAATGTGAAGAATGGAATAATTTATTAATTTATAATTTATTAATTCCATTTGGATGCAGGAATCGTTCTTACACGATTCCTCGAAGATACAATAAATGGAATATATGAAAATATGTAAAATAATTCAGAGGAACTAGAATAGCTCAAAACAGGTTAAAACAAATAATTAGTTCCAATAATCTCATTCTACCGCATAATATATATTAAAAAAAAAAAATGAACGTGGACAATTAATTATTTTATATTTCGAAAAGAACCTCTTAAAGCATTTACGTAATTATTATGGCAATTTATATTTTCAATACTTCGTGGAAGTATTGAATTAAGATTATACAATTTATCATTTATATTTATAAATACTTTCACTTAAAACTCGATATAAATAATCAATGAAAAAAAAAAAAAGGAAAAGAAGAAACTAAAACTGAACCTGACTGATTTATTAAAGGGATCGAATTCTTCTCATCACAAGGCCCGTAAACAATGTTTCAGAAAGATCTCGTGGATACGTTACAGCAACCGTGCGACCACGAACAACCGCTCGAAATCGCGGAACGATCGATTGCATAATGATCCAATCCGGCGAGGCAAGTGGATCTGTGCCGAGGTGTGAGATTATACGTGTGTATACGTAGATGTGTATATGTACCTGCAACGTGAGGATCGACATTAATTCAAAGAGATCCCAGCTGCGTACTCACCAACCGTATTCACGATTAATTCTATACATCGCTCGTTTAAATTCTGCAAATCGGATCGTTGATCAATTTTTTTGAGAACCGTGAAATAAAATAGAATCTGTATAAACTCGAAACTTTTATAAGATAACAAAATTATTTTTATTTATTAGAAGATAAAGACAAAAAGAGAAGAAACTGCCTTTAAAATCCAAACCTTTTTTCGTAATATTCAAATAATTTATTCTTAAGATAAGAAAAATTGAGGAAATTATAGTGCCCTAATTTATAGGAACAGAAGTAAGTATTTTGGAAATCTTAAATTTTTAAAGGAACGTGCATCCCTCAAAAACTTGAATTTTAGAATTGATGAAGATAAAGAGATAGTTAAGAACACGAATTCTTTTTTTTATTTAAAAATAATCTTTGTTACCAATGTATATGTTTCATTTAAGATGCATCTGCACATCAGCAACAACATTTTTTTTTTTTTTTTTTTGATTAACGAAAATTAA